TTCACCCTACCCTGAAGTGTCCCTGCCAGCCTCAGGCGCTCACAAAAATCTCCAACACCTTCCTTTAAAAAAGAAAAAAGTGTATATATATATATATTTTTAAATCTAATCAGCAGACTAGTCCATCCCAGCCTGAAGAAGATGCTAGGTGCCTTGAGATAAACTTAGCCGGACCCCCAGCTTCCCAAAGCAGAAAAATCTTTATTCCCCAGTATCTCCCCACTTGGTCCCAACTCCTGAGCACGGCAGCACCCCTCCGACTGTTGCGGTCAGGGTACACCTTGCGTAGTACCTTCAGGGCAGGTGGGAGGTACCAAGCTTGCTCCCCACGTGGAAGCTCCTTGATTTTTCCACACAAGGACGTGCAAGCCTACACCCCACGTGAGCTCCCCCGTGGGGAACGGTAGGGAAGAAGAGGAGGAGGAGGAGGAAGCTGCACTGCACGGGTGCTGCTGTGGGGGTAGCCGTGGCCTGGGGGAGGCGAGCAGGCAGGGCTTTCTGTTTCCACTTGACCTACATCCAGATTCAGATGGTGGTTTATTCAGGAAAGGCGGTACTGCTCCATTGCTCTCCAAATCAAACCGCTCTCAGGATCACCCCTGTTCTCCCGACACATTTCTCAGCGCACCGATTCCCAGGGAAGGAGTTTGCTTCGCTGCAGCAAACCAGGCCAACCAGCGCAGGTGCAGACAAGCTCCCTGGCCGCAGCTACAATCACCGGGGCAGTGTCTTCTCTGCTGAAAAAGTCCCAGCTCTGGGACATTTTGAAAGTAAAACGCTTTGGAACTGAGGGGCTCACTTCCCATCTTTAACTCTGCCAGCTTCGGGGAAAGAGAGAGGTGCAGAACTGCTCCTGGTGTCCCCTTCCCAGGGCCACGGCAGTGCCAAGGACACCTTCCCAGGGCCACAGCAGTGCCAAGGACACAGTCCCGGACACGCTTTCGGCAGAGCACCCTTTCTCCTTCCTCCTCGCAGGCCTGCCAGGACCAGGCAGCTCTACGGCAGCCCTTTGCCTTGGGTGGCGAGCAAACCCCGGCAGCTCGCACGGCGTGTGCCGGCACGCACCGCGTTACAGGTGGCTCCGGCTCACCGCCGCCTGCCTCTCCATCGCGGGAGGCTCCTGCCCGGGCGAGGCTGGCTGAGGTTTTCCAGCCGGTTTTTTGGCATGGAGACGGCGTTGTAGATGCCGCTGGACTTTCTCCATTCATTTCTCCCCATTAGTAACCAAAGCAGCTGCTCCATGCCTCAGCCAGGGTAAAGCCCGACGGTGAAGGCGGTGGTAATTAGCTGTGCTGGCAGCGCACCCAGCGAAGCAAAATGGGGGTAATCATCGTGGCTCATAACCAGCCTGTGCCAGTGGGGAAGCTGAGGCCTCCCTGATCCTCTCCTTCCTCCCTCTGAGCTTCCCTCACTTCTCAATTAGTTGCCTCCTTCCTGGAGGAATTAAAAGGAAAAAAAAACCAAAACACCAAACTAAAAGGCCAACAAATGCAGAGGAACACACCGGCTTCTCCCCGCTGGCAGAGAGAAGTGCCTGAAGGGGAGTGCCCTGTGTCCCCCCGCCGGGGTGCATGCTGGCAGCCGAAAGGCAGGGGCGATGCGGGGCTGGCAGAGGGTGCAGGTCCCCGTTGGTGGCACAGCTAGCCAAGCCCCTCCTCGGAAAAGGACTGGTTTGCTCCATGATGTTTTGGGGATGGTGATGCTGTGCCAGCCCCCTGATAGAGTCTCTCCAGGCTGGAGCAGGCCAGGAAAAGCTGCTCCGGAGGAGGCTGTCATTCCCTTAATGACGGCAACCTGTTTCTAAAGGATTTTATGCATCTGACTCCCATTAAAACCTGAGGGACTTGGCCAGTGTCATGCTTGATGCCCACAGGCAGCTGGGACCACTCCTTCAGGTGCCACCTCCTCCGGTCCCTCCTGCTCGGTGGAGGGGTGGGCTGGGGGGATGCTCCACAGCACCCTGCTGCGTCCCTCCAGCCGACAGCCCCAAGCATGCTCTAAGGCATCCAGAAAAAGCCCCGCAGGGTTTAAAGTCGGGCTGTTTCCAGGTAAAATTCCCCAGAACCGCGCTCTGCGATGTGCTGCAAGGAGCCCTGGTGCACGCCACCAGTTTGTCCCCTCTGTGAGCTGATGAGCAGGGCTCTCCCTCAGCTCCTCTCCCTCTCCCCTTTGTTCCACAGCTGGGAAACAGCCGGTGTCACACGTTGGCATGAGTGTCACAACAAGGCGGTACGGCTTCCCGGAGAAGGACCCGACCTACCGATCAGCCCCGTGGCAAGCACGCAGCAATCCTGGCTGCCGCTGCGTCCCTGCTGCTGTTTGCGAGCAATTAACAGGGACGTGGGACAGGGTGAGGCTGGGCGAGGTAGGAGACCAGAGGCAATAAGGACGGGATCTCAAGCTATTTTAGCTTTTTAATTCGGCTCTTTCTTCACTGCGATCACAGGGACGGCCGGGTGCCCGTGCATGTGTACCGACCTACACAGGTTTGCCTACCTGCACACGCGGGCTTACCGGCACACACGTGCCTGCTCTCTGCCTGCATGCACGGGCACGCATCTGCGCACGCACGTTCACAAACGCAATATTCGTTTCTTATTTTTACGGTGAAAATTAGCCACTTGTCAAGGCAGGGAGGTCTCAGACCGCTACGTCCACCAAACTCACCCCAGCCCAAGCCACTTACAGACAGGGCTGTAATTCTTTGCTTTCCAAAACGGACTAGAAAGACGAGAAAGGAGACGGCAGTAACGCACGGCTGCTCATGCAATGCTTTGCTAACCTAATCCCACCGAGCACTCCGTACCACAGCAGTTTGCAGCTCTCCCCTTAACCTGCTCCGATCCCAGCTCCCTGAGGTCCATCGGAGCATCCGGATGGCTAAAAGCTGCCTCAGGGTGTATCCCTCAAGGCCGCCAAAGGTTCGAGTTAGGCACATCACAGCACGGCCGCAACCCTGTAATCCACTCCCGTGAGATACTGCCGCTGTCAGAAAGAAATCACATCCCAGCTCCAAAAGAAAGAGGAAGAAACATCCACTTGTGCAGCCACGAACACTGGTACGGCTGTTCCCATTCAGGTATTCCCATCTCAGTAAACACAATCTGGATCAGACCAGCATTCCCCCAAATTCAGTGTTTTGCCTCAGAGTTTCCCTGTATTAAAAGCCTAAGGAAGAATCAAAACATAATCCTGCTCTTAGCAGTTCGGAAATAAAATGCTCTTAGAGAAAAATGCCTTTCACATCCCAGTCACTTCTCATAGTGTTCACATTACCTATAAAAAAAATACTTAAATATTACCAGAATCCTACACTCTCAACAGTTGCCATTTTTTGGAATATTTATATACACATATTTGTTATATTTTTATATATACACATCTATACATATATACATGCATGCATATATATATATGAAAACCCGTGAAAGCATTTATTTGATCAGTCTAAAGACATGCTGCTTTTGGATTCTGCTTCTACCCCCTGTTACGGCAGAGTAAGTCATCTTCATCTCTCTAGCAGACAGATGAGATACGGGATACAAACTCTTACCGTTTCCTCTGCAACGCTACTTACCGACAAGAGACCCGACCTCATCCCATCCTAACCACCCAAATCCATACCCAGCAGCAAGGACTTGGGTCCAAAAAGGTACGTGCAGCTGCTGCTCCTGCATCACCACAAACTGGAGGAGCTGGGAGTAACTTATTTACTTTTGACCTTGTATCTTTGCAGTGGTTTATTCCTTCCCCTGTCCCCGGCTGCCTTCTTCAACACACTTTTTAATAAGCATCTCTCTGCTGATGCAGCGACAGCCTCCAGTTCAGACGAAAGGGCAGCCTGTGGCCCGTAGAGAAGGTTTTTACGGAGTATTTCTGACAGCCACTGCAGACGCACGCACGCACACCCGGAGTAACTCATCACTTGCAGCGCTAGACTGCTTTTACAAGCAGCGATGCATCAAACCTCCCCCTCCCCTTCTGCTGTTTTCCCAAGCTCTCTTTGTTTTCCTGGGTTTGCTCCAGGCCCTAAATATATTCCAGATTAACAAAATTCACCGGAGACCAAGATGCAAGCGGGGAAAATTTCCAGCCAAGCGGCCCAGGGCCCCCAGTAAGGCTAGGTTTATTTATCTCAGCTAAAAACGTCCCCTTGCCCCCTCCCAATGCCTGGTGGGAGCCAGGGGCTCCAGGCTGAACCTGACCACTCCTCACCAGCCAAGCTGCACCCCATTGCCATGCCAGAGGACTACGGCTTCCTCAAAGGTCTGCTGAGTGGCTTTAATTGTCTCCCTCGATCAGGTACCAAAGCTCCTCTGCCAACAGCGAGTGACAGGAGCAGACCCAGCCGGGGAGGAGATGCGCTCCTGGGCAAGGCATTGGGCTGCAGCAGGGCGCTGCCGCCGAGCCCCCCGAAAGGGCTGCCACGGGGAGAGCGAGCCTCAGCACCTCGGCTCCAAGGAAAGTTTAATTTCTGGAGAGAACTTTTTTGGGGGAGAGGCACAGGCCAGCTCTTGAGAGATGCTGGGGTTTTGGGGGCGGCTCTGCTGCTCCTCGCAAGAGGATGAGCGGTGGGTGAGCCAGAGGAGGAAAGCCATTGCTGCTGCTGGAGAAACCTGCCAGAAGCCCAGAGCCAGGCTCAGGTTTTGGGTTTGTTCCCTGCCCCCAGTGCTTTTAACTCCTTAGTGATCTTCCTGAACAACCAATCCAACCCTCCTATTTTGCCCAAAAGGCATTTGGCCGACTGCAGCGAAGTTAAGATGTCAGTACCAAGGCGCCCGTTGCCAGCAGAGCTTGGCTGCAGATCCGAGTTGTGACACAGTTAATATGTAATGAGGTTATTAATATTATATTGTGACATACTTAAGATCACCACGTTTCCACTGAGTATGTAATCATTGAGCAGCCAAGAAATAATCCTTTAACTACGGATTAAATTTAGCCCTGTTTGACATCCCATCCTTCATTGAAGCCATTAAAAGAACCCAGGCCAGGAAGCTACCCTTGTTCCTCACCGGAAACGCTCACATCCCCCTGAGATATTTTTCTAACATCTTTGCAAACAAGAAGTTACGAGGCTGTCCAAGGAACGGCTGCTCCAAGCTAATGCTTACTTTATGCCTAGGTTACGTTAAATGCTGTTCCCTTGTCTCAAAAAGGCCGTTAAGCCGCAAACGTATCTGTCCTGTCTTACTTTGACCTTGCTCTTGACTGCAAACTTAACCCAGCAGATCTTAAAGACAGCTCCTCGATGCCTACATTTGCTTGTCCCTGAAAGCAGGAGGTGCCACGGGTGCTGTCACCGCAGGGTGACCCGGCGGTACCTCCTGGGCGCGTAGGTGTGCCTACGGCCACCATGCACACCAACGGCCCAGCCTGCCCTTCGCTTCCATAGGTGTGCCAGCTGCCACTGGAAGGGTGCTTAATCCTGCTGTCTTCACCTCCTGCTCCTCTTCTGGGTCCTGCCCTTCGAGTTGTCAGTGACTGAATGCACCCAGAGCTGAAAGGTGAAGCCTCAATGACTCAGGAGGCGGCGGGGGGGATGAACACAAGGGACAGACCATGTGTTTCAGCCCCTGGTGCAGGTTTTTTCCTCCCCTCCGTATCCCGTGGGGCTGTACCGTGAGCTCCGGAGGTTGGAGGCAGCGGGTGTCTGCTCCCCTGGAGAAGCTGTTTCAGCGTTTTGTGGGAGTACAACTGCCAACACCCCCTGTAACTCAGCCTACCTGTAACCCGGCCCAGTCACTGCAACTTTTTAACCTCCCTCCTCTGCAGGGACTTTCTCCTTTTCTTGTCTGCCACCTACGATGGAGGTCCCCAGAGAACCTTCTTCCACTTCCTCCTGCCTTGGCTGGGACAAGTTATTAAGGATCTCTCTCTAGCAGCAGTGAAATGAGGTGAGACACAGGAAATTTACTGATTCAATAAAAAGAAAGCCAACTCCTGAAACAGAAATGTGGAGGAGGAAGAAGAAAAATCAAGACGACAGCTGGGAAAGAAAAGCACATTGAGGAATTATGCAGCATCCCTGTAACAAAATCAGTTATTCAACTACCTGTGAGGGCACCTATTTGCATTATTCATAGGGTATTAATTACACAACTCAAATTTTTTTTTTGAGCCTTTGCCATTACAGGTCATCACCTGCAGCAGGTAGCCCAGCAGCGCTTTGCTGCCTCCGCTCCCCCCAACGCAGCCTATTCTGTTTTCTCCTCCTGCCTAATTATGACAATTACTTTCTTATCCTCTTTTATTTCCCTTCACTTGCATTGTTTAAGCCAGCTATTACAGCTTTCATGTTCTCATAACAAAGTTGTTCTCTGCAAAGACCCCACCCGGGATGGCACCATGATATCAAGCTGGCATCAGGTAACAGCACTGCAGCCAAAATCAGCTCTCCACCTGCTGTTTTTTCTGACAGTTCCTAACAAAAAGGAGTTTGTGGGTTTGTTTTCTTTTCCTTTGACAGCTGCATCTCTCCGTAGCCTCCTCTTACCATCCTTTCCTGCTCAGCACGTGCTGGATGAACCCAGATGGATGGTCTCATAGAGTTTTTCAGAAGTGGCAGGTGTCCCACGGAAGGCTCAGCCGACTGCCTAAGGACAGCATCCCAGCTCCTCGAAGCTGAAATCCATGGCACCAAGTGTCTAAGCATCACCGAGGACTTGTGCTTACAGCCCTCCTGCAGAGATGACGGTGCAGGGGGCTGTATGCAGACCACAGTGGGTAACGCACCTACTAATTAATTATTGAGAGCACCAAAGAACCAAAAGAACACATCTGCAAGTGTTAGAAATACATGACCAGCTCGGAGACTAATAAAACAGGGGGAATAGGGCTAGTCAGCAACACTCAATCTCAGTTGTTTAGGTTATTCATTAAATATAAATTTTTATAGCCAGGTGGAATGCAGCACACCCACCTTCAGGCCTCCAACAGGCCACAAGTGTGCAAAAGCTCCCTCAGCAGTCACAGAATTGCTGAGGTTGGACGAGACCTCTGGGATCATCGAGTCCAACCTTTGCCCTAACACCCCCATGTCAACCAGACCAGGGCACTCGGTGCCACGTCCATTCTTTTCTTAAACACCTCCAGGGATGGGGACATCACCACCTCCCTGGGGAAAAAAGAAAAAGTTGAAAATCCAGTGCATTTATTCATCCCACTTTCCTGAGGCACTGAGCTGTGTCTCTGGGTGAGCTGAGAGCCCTGCACCGACCAGAGATGGAGAGCAGACTGCGCAGACGAACCCTGGGGAACCAGGCTGGTCAAAGTACAGAGAGCCAAATCCCACCAAGGCTGCCTACCCTTTGTTGTTATAACAGCCCCACGAAAGGCCAACAATAAGAAGCTCCTGTGATATTG